TTGAGACGGCTTGGCTTATAAGCAAATCCGTATCAAGACGCTGTTCATCATGTGATAAGAACACGCCTTCCTAGTTAGGATTGGAGGCGTGTCCATATGGCGCGATGGACATTATGAAAAGGCTTAATTTTGGACTGAAAGGGGCCTTCATATCACGTGATGTATATGTTTCATTTTATGGAGACGGCTTCTTTTTGGACTGAAAGGGGCCTTCATATCACGTGATATATATGTTTCATTTTATGGAGACGGCTTCTTTTTGGACTGAAAGGGCCCTTCATATCACGTGATATATATGTTTCATTTTATGGAGACGGCTTCTTTTTGGACTGAAAGGGCCCTTCATATCACGTGATGGACATGGGCTCGTTTTATGGAGACCACCTTCATTTTGGACAGAAGGGGTATTCAAAGCGTAAGGGACGTTCATTCTGAGCTACCTTCATTATGTAATGAAGTGGTCCTCATTCTAAATTGACCCGGGGCCCTCGATTTGGTGTGGAATGAAGGGTACCTTCATGAAGGTATGAAGGGTCTTCATTAAGGTGTGAAATGAGTGTGAATCGCATATAGAATGAAGGCTCCAGGTTCCCAGAGTGTAGGTTCTCCCCTCGCTCCCATCATTCATCACATATATCATAATCACCCTATGCTGCTGACGGGCCTGCATTAGTAAGAAGACCCAATATATATTAATGTTCTCGGATCCAGCACACATATTATGTTCTGACGTGGACTATAATAATAAGTACGCCACCAAACCCAAAACTGGTTCTCCGGCAAGTGAAGCCGTCAATGTTGGCCCCGCATGGAGAGGTTTGGAATTGTATGGTAATACAGTGTGGTTTCGAATATTGTTATGTGTAATTTTGGGCCTAGGACCATTGCGCTGTGAGGCCTCGACTGTCCATCCCATTTGCTCGTCCCTATCGTATAGTGGTTAGTACATCACGTTGTGGCCGTGAAGACCCCGGCTCGAATCCGGGTAGGGACATCCAGGAGCTCCGGGCACGGAGGATTGCAGCCAGATCATCGCACATGCACACGCATGCATGATATGCACAGCTTATTAACGCATCTCAGCCTATGCTCGATTGACAGTTTGGTGTTTGTGTGCTGTCTGTAGCCTGCCTGGACAGGTGAGTGTTTTGTGTTTTGCCAAAAAGATTTCATGAGAGTGTCTTAATAAGCTCAATCGTGACAAATGTCCTACGTTAAGGCCTCCAACAAGCTTGGGCTGCATGCAAGACCATCACATCCAATTTAAACATTTTCGTTGTGGTTGGATGCTGCGTAATGTGGCCATCAACCTTTTCCCGACCTGGCCCCATCCCACACAGTAGTATTGAACGGCCGGCTGATTATGGCATATGCATCACTTGATGCTCCTTTTGTGGGATCTGCATGCATAGGTCCTGGTGTCCATGTTGGGAATGGGTGGACAATAAGGGGGATTCCATAGGTGAGTGGGGTGAATAATAGGGGGCTTCCCTGGGTTGATCAGCAGCTGGACATGTCTCCAACAAGTGATGCTGATGTGTCTTTTCAGCATTAGGTGGGCCCCAGCCTGGTAGCGTGTCATTCGTCGTTTTGTCTCAGATAGACTGTCCACACAGGTGCGGAGGAGTCTGCCTAAGCCTGGGGACGCGTGGACTCTTCCTATAGTTTTTCTGTGCCAGGAGCGACTTTCGTTGTCATCCTCCCATCCCCCCCTTGGAGCACAAGTCGCGAGAGCACCGCATGCCTGAGTCATCTCTGTGGAAGATGACCACGAAGCCTGGATATGTGTATGCCTCACCTGTGCACGTCCAAAATGTGCGAGACATGCTCTACCTCTCAGAATTGCTTCGCACACCAGGTATTTCCTTCGAGTCTACCAGGGATCGAACCTGGAATCTCCGGTTCCGTAGACCGGCGCTTTATCCATTAAGCCATAGGCCCTCCACTTCGCAGGAGTACCACTAAGGCAGAATTACACAAAAGGATGTTTGGAGCTTGTGTCCTGACACAGCATATTCGCATTGTAGTAGTATTGTAGTGGTATTGTTGTAGTATTGTAGTAGTATCGAAGTAGTATCGTAGTAGTATTGTAGTAGTATTGTAGTAGTATTGTAGTAGTATTGTAGTAGTATTGTAGTAGTATTGTAGTAGTATTCTAGTAGTATTGTAGTAGTATTGTAGTAGTATTCTAGTAGTATTCTAGTAGTATTCTAGTAGTATTCTAGTAGTATTCTAGTAGTATTCTAGTAGTATTCTAGTAGTATTCTAGTAGTATTCTAGTAGTATTCTAGTAGTATAAGAGTATGAGTAGTATTAGAATTAGAATTATTATTAGAAGCAGTAGTTGTAGTATAGGATTATTATTATTATTATTATTATTATTATTATTATTATTATTATTATTAGTAGTAGTAGTAGTAGTAGTAGTAGTAGTAGTAGTAGAGGTTGCATTTCTTGTTGTAATAGCAGTATAGAAGTAGTAGTATGTAATAGTACATTCATAGGGCAAATCTAAAGCCACTGCTTGTTATGCGCTTAAGTGGAAAAGTAGCCCAAGCGAGCTGTCCCATTCCTTGCTATCACCTCCCGCAAGTTCGTGTGTAACCACTAGGGTACATAGGGCTTATTGGAGTACGCTTTTCGTTAGCTAGGAGCTCCTTTCATCAGCACCGTTTTACTCATCCTATAAG